GGTCTTTTGTGACTGGCTTCTTTTACTTAGCATAATGATTTATTTTTATTTTTTAAAAAAGAGAAGTTTATTTTCTCATAGTTCTGGAAGCTGGAAGTTTGAGATCAAGATCTGGCAAGTTTGGTTTCTCCTGAAGCCTCTGTCTGTGGCTTGCAGACAGCCACTTTCTCACTGTGTACTTATGGCTTTTTTTCTGTGTGCGCCAGCATGACGTTTTCAAGGTTCATCTGTGTGGTAGCACATATCAGTACTTCATTCCTTTTTATAGCAAAATAATATTCAATTGCATGGATATACCACATTTTATTTATCCATTCATCACCTGATAGACATCTGGGTTGTTTCTACTTTTTGGCTATTACATGTAATACTGCTGTGGACATTTGTGTGTAAGTTTTTATGTGGACATATATTTTCAGTTCTCTTGGGTAGACGCTTGGAGTGTAATTGCTGTTGTATGTTTAACCTATGACTAACTCTATGTCTAACCATTTGAAGAACTGCCATACTGTTTTTCAAAGTGGGTTGCACCATTTTAAAATCCTACCAGCCACCTAGGAGGGTTCTAATCTCTCCACATCCTCAGCAACACCTGTTATTGGCTGTCTTTTTTATTTAAGCTATCCTAGCAGGTGCGAAGTGGATTCTCATTGTGTTTTTGATTTGCATTTTTCTGATGACTAATGAGGTCCTTCATAATTTCATGTGCTTATTGGTTATATCGTGCTTATTGGTTATATCTTCTTTGGGAAAATGTCTACTCAGGTCCTTTCTCAATTTTTAAAATTGGGCTATTTGTCTTTTTATGAGCCTTAAGTATTTTTAAAATGTGATTTCTAACTTGCACATTGTTGTCAATTGCTATGATCTCACAATCAGAATTTTTAGGCTGGAAGGGATTATAAAAACCGAGGTCTAACCTCCTCTGTTGACAGATGAAGAATCTGAGGCTTACAGTGGCTTGCCCATGGCCACAACAGGGAAGATTAATGACTCTAAATCAAAAATAGAAAGCATAGATGTTTCATGATTTATATCTGAATAGAGCTCCTTTCTTACAGAGAATAACACTTTGATCCTGATAAAATGGAGGCATAGAGGTAGTATCTGGTAGGAAGAGGAGCTCTGGGACTTGTCTTGAAGTTGCATTCAACTAGCAAAAACACTGTTTTCATTTAAATTAATAAAAATAGCAGATTTCTAAAGACACTTTTAGTCAGACTTTACATAAGAATCTTCTTTGAGCCTTAAAAGTGACAGCAAAGCTGTCTGGTTCATAATGACCTCTAGTGGGGGTTCGCGTGTTTATTATAGTATCCATCATGGTAGCTTAAGAGTATTTGAAGAAAGAGCCTCGATCTTCTGGGCTTTGGGTTTGGTTGCAAAATGAAGCCATATTTTACTGGGAAATTTATTCGCATTTCCCATGGAAGTCAAAGAAAGCATTCCACTTTGCCTAATGAAATTAAGATGGGGAATGGAGGGTGGCATTTCGGGTGTACAGGCTTTCTGCCTGAGGTTTGCATGTGGGGAAGGGGAGAAGGGATTTGTGTCAGAGTCATAAGGTTCTATTCTACCTGCCAGATAACACAGAACAGAAAAACAGTGAAGAAAATATTCAGATAAAATCAATACAAAATGTCAGTGTTTCAATAAGTCCACGTTCACATGTTGGTTTTTCAATGCTTTTAGTCCACCCTGCTTGACCTTAATGTTTTTTCTAACAAAGAAGCATGTAATAAAGGCCATTTTCACGGTCTGCATTGAGTTTTTTATTTTGTTTTATTTAAACAATATTTTCTCTGACATAAGGAGATCTATGCCCCTCACGATTACATTGTAATTGGCTTTGACGAAAACGATAGTTCACAGAAGGGTGAACTCTCAATCATTTATAGAGAGGACAAAATCATTCTTTTGAATCAGATTTTCAGGCTACCATGGCAAACCATGGAAAGTTTTGATCCCCATCCAAACTTCACGATGGGGGAATCACTGTTAAGTTACAGCACTCCGCCCTTGAAAATGAAACAGCCTGTGCATTTATTACCTAAAAGGGTGGGGTGACTCTGAGCTACTGAGATGAGCAACCTGAGATGCCCGTGGTGTGAATATCTATGTTTTTAAGGATATGTTCATAGATACATGTTTACATGTATCACTAAAGAGATGGGGAAAGTGTCTGACATGCAGTAGATGCTCCAAAAATGTTAGTTGAATCTTGTGAAGATTGAACTGCCTCAAAGAAATGTTTTGAGGCCGAATAATGTGATTTCAAAGCATTTGAGGAATAAATATTTCACTGTCCTTTTTCCTTATTAGTTTTTCTGTTAAACTGCAGTCTTAGCATCTCCATTAATCTTTATGAGATTCTAGCTTCCTATTAACTGAAGAATGGTGATGTACTCAGAGCTACCAGTTACTTGGAAATGCAGTTTCCTTCTATTTCTCTTTTCCTTTGTTTAATTGTCTACTTTTATCTAGCTTCCTCATTCCAAGTGCAAAATTCATTGATGTCAGTGATGACAAATCATATAGCAAAATATTTTTCTTAGTATTTCCCCCCAAACCTTCCAATAACCCTGATTTTTTTCAGTGTCCCATAACCGCTCATTTATGTTCTCATCTTCTGCTTGGGGACACGTGGAGTGCAGAGTGGAGTGAGTAGAGGGCACACTCGCTAGGGGTCTTCCCTAGATAGCACTTCTCTCAGCTGGGCCGTGGGTGGTTCTTTGAAGCTAGAGATTCTCTCTGATGAGGGTCAAGCGTGCCGGTGTTCTAGGTTGCTGATAAAGAAAGATTTATATGATTTGGAAGCCAAAATATCAGGCGGCGGGATTCACCTCATACCATGAACAGGGGGCTGCGTCCCCATGGCCTCTCCTGGAAGGAAAAGCTCAGCATGTCCACCCAGACCACTGAGATAACTACAAGTAATGCCAGAATTTTCCACAGGTAGCTTTGACAGATCTTTTCCAGCACATGAACAATTGCTAAATTAAGCCCCCAGTGTTCCATGCCATGAAGCAGGGCAGAAACTATTCTGGCCTCAAAATTTTTCAGCATTATCAATTGCTAGCTGTGGCTTTCAAAAAACCTGGTGTTCCCATGGATCACTGATTTTGAGCTATATGTTGCCTAAAGAAACTCATGAAGACAAAGTACAAAATACATCCCTAGGGACCTGAATGAGCTGACTTGTTCTATGAGGTTTTGATAAACTAACCGAATTCACATGAAACAGCGATTTTAATTTGGTTAATATCAAGCCATTTTATCTAGGAGTACTTTGATACCAGGACCTCTTGTCTATAAAAGTTACTTTAAAAATATTAATTTATATAATCAGCAACACCAGAAAAGCATATAATATTAATATCTTTGCTATTACATACCCAGCAAAATATTTGCTGACAGAAGGAGTGGGGTGGAGAAGTGATTCCACTAGCTGTCAGTGACAGGGGGCGTCTGCCACGTGCCAGGCAGCGAGCTCGCCACTTACACGACACGGCGCCGAATCCCCACACCCTGCCTCTGAGGCAGGTCCAGGGCTTTCCAGCTTCACTCATGAGGACACTAAGCAGCAGCAAGTTAAGTAATGCAAAGGCTGTGCACGTAGTAAATGGAAAAACTTACTGTCTTTTAACAGATTAACTTAGTTCAAGATCGTGCAGATCTTTTAACCAGACTCACCTGGTTTTTTTTGAGATACCAGGACCCCAGAGAAACACGAGAGAGCACTGCTGGGTGTAGCCATGGGATTTGACATAGGCATCTCATTGCATAGATCTGTGACCTAACATTAAAACCTAGAGGACCATTCGCCTCAAGCTTCTACCTTGACTTCCACTGTCTAGACCTCTTTTTTAAGTAAAAATATTCCCGAAGATTGGTGCCAAATACTAAACTTTCCTCCCCCCGCCAAGTATCTTTTTTCCCTCCCCCCAGCCTCTATTCCTGCCTCAGGAGCACCAACCCTAGCCCCTGATCTCCTGTTTTTACCAGGCCTTGCAGCTGCCTCAGCAGGAGGAGGGGGAGCAAGAGGAGGAGGGGGAAGAAGAGGGAGGAGGAAGAGAGAGGAGTGTGAGGGACAAGGGAAAGAAGGAGAAAAGAGCCATCCTTATTGACGTTATTCTGATTGTCAATGAGAGGCCCGACCTCTGCAGCACCTATGGCTCAAAGAATGCTGAGACTGGGACTATCAGAAATGGGAGGTCAGAGAGCCAAGGTCTAGTCCAATGTCTCGTTCACAGATAAGAGAACTGAGATCTGGAGAGTGCAGTGATAAAGCATGTAGATGATAAAGCATTTTCACCTACCTTATTTCATTGCCTCCTAGCGATCCTCTGTGAGATATGCTTGTCAAATGTCACCTAAGAGTGTGAACAGGTCCCTTTTTATTGTATCATTATTGAGAGAACTTGTAGATTACATAAGACAAACCAAACAGCTTCTAAAACTGATTGTGATTCTAAAATTAGGTTTCCAAATGAGGAAACTAGTTCAGAAAGGGAAATGATTGGCCCAAAATATCATTGCTCAACTAATGATTGAGCTAAGTCTAGAACTCAGGAACATTTCTATGCTTTTTATTTACGAGAAAGATCAGATAGGCCTGTAGGACCAGAGGACCCACACTTGTAAAAGTTCAGTATTAGAAATATACTTTGGATGACACCGATATTTAATCTTTAGAGTTTTTAATAAGTTATTATATATTCTTAATATGATTGTATTTTGAACTATATATGAATCTGTTAGCATTCTTAATAAATGGGCTTTTTGGTATTATTTAGGTCATTTGGTCTAAAAGGATATATAATATTTGTGAGCAAGGCTTGGACTAGCAAAATATTTGTGAACTAAAGAAATTTGTATTAGATGTATCTTTTTACATATGTAAATAAATTAAAGATGAAAACTCACCTTTATGGAAAGATAACTTAAAGAAGATGAGAAGGCAATTTGCAAATAATACATTCTAAAACTTTGTTTTTCAGGATCTAGTTCAGGTTCAAAATTAAAAGGTCCTGAACTGAGTTTAAAGGGCACCCAGCACGTCATGCAAGCAGGCCAGACACTCTATCTCAAATGCAGGTAAGTGACTGTGTTGCTTTGGGAATAATCTAGTTGCCTTTCCCAAGGCAAAATCATTCCCTGGCAGAGTAGAAAGGTCGCCTCTCAGAGGACAAAGGTAGGGACCTCAGTGATCTGTGATCTGCAAAGTGCAAGCCATATGTATCCAGCTTCACCCGGAAGGGAGAGCATTACTCACTCAGAGGGAGATGGGGGAAGGGATGCCCCAAGCTTTTTTGCATCTTTATTCTGAGTATTGTTCAAAAGCTTTTCTGAATGTGTTGCTTTTCTATAAAGAGGAAGATGACTACACTTAAGAGAGGACCTCAGAATAGTGCTTCCTAATAAAATGAATGCTTAGGAACTGGTGCCTAGCCCTGGTCCCAGCCCTAATTGTGTTTTGTTTTCTTATCTGTGATTGCAGGGGGGAAGCAGCCCATTCATGGTCTTTGCCTGAAACGGTGAGTAAGGAAAGCAAAAGGCTGAGCATAACTAAATCTGCCTGTGGAAGGAACAGCAAACAATTCTGCAGCACTCTGACCTTGACCATGGCTCAGGCAAACCACACTGGCTTCTACAGCTGCAAATATCTGGCTAGACCTACTTCAAAGAAGAAGAAAACAGAATCTACAATCTATATATTTATTAATGGTAAGACTTCCATTTTCTATATTTTGTTTGTTATTGCTTTGCAGTGGATCATAAATCTACCCAAGGTGGCTTTCCTAGTGAGTATGAAAGAAATGGGCCAGGAAAGAGATTCTACCCTAATTGTAGATACTTTCTTGAGTATCAATTTTCAACTAGAATTTTCAAGGCCCAGTCACTCCATGAAGGCAGAGACTCTGGTCTATTGTTCACCTCTGTACCCACAGCATGTAACCTAGTGTCTGGCACATAACTGGATGAATAAATGAATGACAGGACTTTAGTTCTATTTTTTAATTACTGAGAAGCCCAAAATAGAATATAAGATTTTTGTCCTTTCACACAATTGCATTTTACAATGTTGGAATTGTAACATATTGTTTTCTCTACTAAATTGATGACTGTAATGTTGCTATTGTCTCTTAAGTGTTATAAAATTGGTTCCAGTTGACAATGTTGTATTATTTCATGTTAATTAAACAAGTATTATAATGATATGAGAACTGGGGCATACCATTGTATAGGGAAAAGGGCAAAGGGTAAAAATGAATCATTTTTCTTTACAATTTTTATGGTACTGTTTTTCCCTCCCTAGAGAATGAACAAACAAAGTAATATTCAAAGGGAAGAAATGCATAATCCTTTATGAAGCATAAATTCACAATAAAATTGGATCCCTGAGAAAGAATAATAAAAACGGCCTGTCGCTTTGTTCTTCCTTGTTTAGTTCTAGCCAATTTCCAAATCTTGTTGAGGGGTATTAAAAAACAAAATAAGACTCTAGAGAGTCTTAACATAAAACAAAATTAGTAAGCACTGCAGGCACAAAATCGAGTTAAAAATCAAAACAAAACAGCCAACCATCAGCATCACTAGCTAAATATGCATGTAGGTCTACCTCCTGGTGAGTTAAAGAACTGGGTCTTTGCACTGGAGACAATACAAAAGAATTAAAGTTTTGGCGGAATTGATTTTTTTTTTTAAATTTTTGAAGTAAGGCAACTAGACAATGTTTCACCCAAACATAATATGTAATTATCCAGATTCAGGATTAGTTAGTCTTAGGAGACAGTAGAACAGTTGCAGAATATTGACAGTAACCTCTTTTTAGCTACAATCAGCCTGATTTTGACTGAACCACTTTCATGTCCCTGATCCACCAAACCGTGTTCCGATATTTTGCACTTTTCCAGGGGGTAGATAACTGTAGAGAACTATGGGGCACTAGACATCCTAAACACCCTATTTGTGGTAATAGGGATGCAATCAGCCCAGGTAGGATGTAGGCCAGGGAACTTGGCTTGGGGCAGTCAGTCCACTTCTGCAGGAGAGAAGAAAGTGTGGCCGGCAGGAAACGATGCAGGGTGGAGAAGGTGTGGAATTAAGAACAGAGACTTTCAGAGAGGTAATTCTGCAGCTGAGGGAAAAAGAAGACACACACTTGATAGCAGTGGAAAAGGTCATATACTCAGACATCTGTTCCCTTTTTCTAGCTCCACATAGTATATTATGTTCTTTCCAGCACTTTGGAGAAAAGAAAACACTTTGCAGTGGGTCATAGACTCCCCCTCTCTCTATGGGGCAGTGGGAGAAAAATTCAATCATTTTAAACTTCTCATAAAACTTTCTCCTGTGAGTTTATCAGAGTCTGACTTGCAAATCACACACTTAAATGAATAAAAGAAAACCATCTCTTTTTTTCTAAAAAATAATGTTTAGCTCTTTTCACCCTTAACTTCTACACTGTCCAATAGATACTCAGACAGGGAGGGCAGAGCCTGTCCATTGCAATCCCCTTCTATGACAAAAGAGAAACTTAGCTCTGTAGAATTATTTCCATTTCAACCACATCTGCAATTGTGTCCCTAGAGGTACCTGGCACATACCTGGCTAAATTACAACCACACTTTCTTCTCTCCTGCAGAAGTGGACTGACTGCCCCAAGCCAAGTTCCCTGGCCTTCATCCTACCTGGGCTGATTGCATCCCTATTACCACAAATAGGGTGTTTAGGATGTCTAGTGCCCCACAGTTCCCTACAGTTATCTACCCCCTGGAAAAGTGCAAAATGTCAGAACAGGGTTTGGTGGATCAGGGACATGAAAGTGGTTCAGTCAAAATCAGGCTAATCACAGCTAAAAAGAGGTTACCGTCAAGAATTCAATATTTGCTAAAGGAATTAACAGCCATTACATAGAATATTATGCTAAAATTGACATTGAGGATAAATTCCAGGTTAATGGGGAAGAGTGCCATGACTGATTATTGACATCTATGATGGGACTGGGGGAGTGGTGGCCATGGTGTCGTCTATTTACCATATCTGCTCTCCTGTAATAGTCCACAAACATTAGCATAAGGTTGCAAGTTCCAATCTCAAAATACTTGCACAATTTGTTGGACATTAGGAAATTGTCTATCTCAAATATTATTCTTAGGGAGGGAAGGATTGGGAAATGCACTGTGTTTTAGGTTATCACAGAATACACACATACATCTACTATATAAGCTCATTAGAAAAATAGTTATGATAATATATTGAGACTATACAACTATTTTAAAATAATATTAAAAGATTTTTGAATCCATAATGGTAGCCATAGAAGAGCCTCCTGAATCTTAGTTGTTTACTAATTAATTTAATCAGCAAATATTTAGGGGACAGTGGCTATATGCCTACAACTATACTACTATGACCAGTAACATTTATTTTGTTATGTGCTTCCTGGTAGAGTCTCATATTGGTCTCATAATCACACTTCATTAAAGTCTAAGGTCGGCTGTGATATAATCCATTAAACAATTATAACTTTTATAACATTTTCAAATAGCCTAACATTTTATGTACTTCTATTTTCATTATTTTATTAATTTTCTTTCTGAGAAAACTTGGTCTTCTGCTCCCATTTTTATCAAATACTTCCATGACAGGTTTACTTTAGTTCAGGGGCACAAAACTCATCTCTGATGACTCAAAAGATTGTCTCTGGGATTAATAAAATGCCAACCATTTTCTAATACACAGCTGCGATCACTCCCTATATGTTATCTAGTTATCACTTACTTATTATTATTGAATATTTACTTTAGAATATGTTATTCTGTTTGGAGGATTTCTGCCACGATAAGTATTTGCAGATTGTTGGTATTTCATTTTAGTTTTCTGTAAAACATGAGAAACCCTACTTAGACACATTTTTTTAAAAGGTAGATTTGTAGTCTGACAGCGTTTCAAGAAAAAGAATCAGGAGTATAGCTTTGTCTACATATCACCAAATCCAGTATGCGAATTATGGACAAACTATTATTTGGACATTATTGATTGCCTGCTGTAACAAGCATAGTTCCTACCTGAGCACTGATTTGGATGTAACATATGATATATAAAATACAGAAAAAGCAATATCACTACTTTATCATTACAGCTTGTATAAATCTGCCAAACCTTTGGCATAATGTATTAAATCAATTTAAGTACTCAGGTAATTATATTTAACTAAATTGCTGAATTGTCTGGTAAATTAAAATTTCCATTAATATAATAACTTCTTACATTTATATGTGTCTCTTCACTTAAACAAATAGTTCATTTACATTATGCCATTTAATCCCCACAACAACCCAGGGAAGCGTTATTCTCTTCATTTTATGAGTGAAGGACCAAGAATCCACTTCACATCAAGGCTATGGGGGGAGCGATGGAAAAGTGTGAGCAGCAGAATAAGGTGGTCAGATTTCCCTTCAGAGTCTCAGAGGCGGGAGGAGATGGGAAGGGGCAAGACTGGGGCAGGGAGACCAGCTGGGGGCCACTCCGTGCAAGAGGGCAGGAGGAATGGTGTCCTGAGGTCACTGTGGTAGTGGGGAGCAGGAGAGAGTTGGTAGATTTGAGGGATTCGATTGGCCTCGGTGATCAGAGGTTGGGTGAGTGAGGGAAAAGGAGGAATCCAAGTGACCTTCAGAATTCTCGGAAGGGCAATTAGGCAACTTGCTCCAGGCCCCATAGCTCTGCCTGCTAAATTACATTGATGCAAAGGCATCATCGTCGTCATCCTTTTGGACATACCCTGAACATGGTCTCAACAAATGGCTTTTGAATGAGAGTAGCTGAAAGATGCTATATATGTTTGTAAAAATTGCCTCTGTGATAGTGAATTGAGTCCACCAGTAATTATAGCTACAAAATTCCTGGTCATAGAAACAAATTGCAAAGCACCCCAATTATAAAAGATTTCTAGAAGAATAGCAACGATAGGGCTGCTTACTTAGGTGGATTTTGTCTCTTTTGGAGAGAAAAGGGAGCACTTTTACACTTCTTTTCTGACACTGGTGTACACAAGAAATTGGCTCCAGGTCAGCCTTTTCTAAAAGTTAGAGGATTTCATTGAAATTGTTATTGTAATACATGAGTTATGACTGGAAAGTAAGAAAACTGACCAGAACAGTTTTTTAACGGCATTTCCAAAGTATGTAATAACTTTGTCAGCATCTCCAATTTAGTTAGCAAGACCTTGAACTTAGCATGTTGAGCTCTCTACACCGTGAAGTCAGCTTATATCCCTCCCCTCTCCAGCCTCAAGCTTGTAGGGGCTATTTAAATATAATGTCTTCTCTTGAAAAGTCATCACTGAAAAGCAAAAAAAAAATGGGGTGGGAGTTATGGTTGGGTGGATCACTTCTAGTTCATCACTGGGAAAGAAACCCATCTCTTTTCTTTCGTTTCTCTTTACTTGATTGTTTTTCTGAGTCTATTAACATAAATGGGTTGGAGCATTTTGATAACAGATTTTCCCACCATTGGTTTTCCCATATGCATAAAGTTGATGAGATTTTCATAACAACTTAATCTAAGATAGAAAAATTATCAGACACATTGGGTATATAAGTGAAAAGTAGTAACATTTCTACAACCCAGATATTCTGGGAGAGAAAAGTAATTATGCTTTTTTACGTAAATGTATTTAGTGAAGAAAAAGCTTTGCCTAGCTATGGGACCTTGAGCAAGTA